AAGAGCATTAATTAATTGTCTTTCATTCTTTCTTGACTGAATGACGAAAAATAGAGCGTTCTATGTTGTTTGCATAGCAATATACAACTCATATAAGACTATTTCTTGTTCAATGAGTGAATCATTGACATTGTTATATCCGTGTAAATGTTAACGTTCAAAATAATCGCTATTAAATATTAATTTTGTTCCATTTGTAAAACTTAATAAAGAAACATTCATACTTATAAATTACTTACACTATCACGGTACTTTTCAGTTTGGGATTTTACTTATTTTCGCTTGTCGAGACCATTCGAGTTATTTAAAATTCATCTCTCGATTCTTTCGAAGCAATTGATCGAGATTGAGATATAACAATGACAACTTAAACGAATTTTATATTACTTATTTCCTAATATACTAAAAATTAATTAAAAACACGTTTTTGCAAACCAATGCAAAATTATTTAAATAAGTAAGAATTCACTAATGGTATAATAAAATAAAGTATTTAACAAATAAAAAAAAAAATAGGTACTTGTAGAAAAGAAAATATATGTACTGACATAATGACAAAGTATTGATTCGATGAAAAAATTTCTGAATTAGTGAAAAGAAAATCAACTATTTTTCATTTTGATTCAGAGCAAAAATAATTTTTAATAAACATTCGTTATTGATTGTTTTTTTGCATGGATGGTGACCTTCTCTTTCTTTCTCATTACAATAACAATTGGGCACCACAACAATTAGTCGCGTATTTGCCAGAACCGTGGTATCTATTTTATTTTCCACAGTCTTCGATTAGCAGACATGTGATTCAATCACATACAGCACCATGCGAGTATGAGAGTGACATGTAAAAAATGAAGATTTACCCATAGAATGAGAGGATCTCACTTGAGTGTTGACATTCACATTTTAAATTTATTAAAATGTTACGAAACGATAAAAACTATATTCATTGTTGAATAGAGAAAATCGCAGCAGATACAAACTCGAAAATATGGGAAAAAATAGAGGATTATAGGAACTTTTCTTGCTCTCGTGTAAGGTTTCATACTCATTTAGAAAAGTTCACTAAACATTCGTATTTATTTATACTCATATCTTATGTTATTTCTCCTTGAATAGATTATTAGTTATTTTCTGATCTTTTCTGCATTATTTCCTTATAATACTAAGAAAAAAATTTTTTTCACCATTGAGACCAAATAATGTTGCCTGATGGTCATAGCCTCCATAATTTCTGCTTGAATGCATAGTCACTTTCGAACTAAAAAGAAGAAAACAAGAATCGAAACATCTGTCCTTCTTACAAACGTATTATTCATTTATAATGAACAATGTTATTCCCTCGATAATTTTTTTTTGCGTTCTATTATCATATTAATGTCAAGAATGATAAAAATATATATTCATTGAATATGATATTAATAATATATGTCATTTACGTAGATGATAAAACTTATGTTTTTTTTTCTTTTTCTTTTTCTTTTTTTAATAATCACTGTTAATGTGACTAGACGAATTTTTTACTTAAGATCATGAATATTCCGTTATTAACATCGGATACTATTTTTATTTTATTACTTTCCTTACAACGTATTTGTCGTAATTTATCTGATATACTTAATGCATTAGAAGTCGATGTTAATTCATTTCGACGTGTACTAACAGAATTTTCATCAACAATTCCTGAATCATCATCATCTTCATCAAATATTGACGGCGACGAAGAAAATAATAATTATGAATTTGAAAAAAAAGAAGATTTTTATGAACAATTATTTGATGAACAACTTGAACCAAAACCATTACGTGTTACAACGCTTTAAATTTATTTAAATATTTAAACTATTTATTTGTAGTTATATTAGTAAGATAGAAATTTCGTGAAAAATAAATTTTTAAAATAATTTCTGATTTAATTTAACTAATTTATCTTTTTCTTTTCTTTTTCTCTAAAAATATTCACACATTGAAATTGTCTATTTTGTATTAATTAGTTTAAATTTTCTGCTTTTCTATTACAAATCTTTCATTTACGGACACAAAATATCGAGACTCTATCATTCTGTTATCATTAGAAATTTTTGGTCGATCTTCATCGAGGAAAAAAAAACACAATATCTCTTTAAGTGGTTCCTTCCATTTATAGTTAAATTATTGTTGTAACATATTTTTAATGTCCACGTCAGAATTAAACAGGGGGAGGGATAGTGTATAAGCTCAATAAGTTGAAAACAGTAACAACTATCGCAAGAACAGAACTTCGAACGTCTTTTTAGGTGATATCGTATATAGGAAAGTTATTTTTAGAACCCACTATCTTTGCAAAATATTCAAAAAAAAAAAGTATTTCATTTCAAGTAAATTTTGATAAAAAATACTAAAAATCAATAGACTATACAATTCGATTGCATAGATACGTGGTTTCGTTTACTCAACATTGACATATGAGAAGATAATCATCTGTATCACACCTTGAACTACAGATCTGAAGGCTCCCTATCTTAGATACATATCAAAAAAAATTTCCTTGAAATAGAACACCATTTCCATGGATTTTGCAAAGATTATGAATTTAAAAATAATTTTGTCTTATGTAGTATCAGACAAAAAGTCATTTGGAATTCTTCTCATACGATTGCTGAAAAACCATAGATCGATAGTTGTTATCATTGTTGAGTTATTGAGTTTACACCTATGTCTCTTCAATTTCGGGGCAGACATTAGTACAAAATCAAAAATGTATAGCTTTTTTGTTCTATAAGTTTTATTACCAATTTATGTGTCTATTTAAAGGAAAATTTTTTTACCTAATGTAGTAAGTTTATAGTAAAAAAAATAATAGTCAATATAAAGAAACCATATGCTAAAATAAGCATCTAGATACGACATCATTTTATGAGATATGAAAAACCATTAGGTTTGTGTCTTTTTTTTTTTCTTAACTATCATCATTTGTAGATGAGTGTTGTATGAATTGGTAATTATCATCATTATCCGTCTAGATATTATCAATGAGATATATTTCAAGAAATAAAAAAAAGGAAACATTTAAATGTGTATTACATTTCTTGATTTGCCTTAAAAATAAATTCATAACAAAAGTGAATTTATTCAATGTCAGTTTGATTTTAACTGATATGTTTATACAACAGAGTAAAATATAATGAAATTAAAAAAAAAAAAAGACAACAACAACGACAATTACATTATCACGAACAAAAAGTTCAAGGAGATTTGTTGTGGATTTTGTGTTTTTTGTATTGAACATGTTAAGGACAAAAACAAAAAAAAGAAAAGAAATCATTCATGTTGTTGCCAACGATCATTCCATATTGGTCGTCGTGCTGATGATGAACGACTACTACCATGTAATGATGTTGATGCTGATGCAGGACGAGAACGTACACTATTACTATTCATTGCATGTGAAGCAGAAGAAGGTCGACTTTGATTATTTGATTTTTTTCCTGATGTAGAAAATGTAGACGACATTATAGTGGCACTTGATGGCCGACTACTAAGATGAATTTTTGGTGGAATTGGTGATGTTGGATATGAAACATAAGCCATTTGACGATCATAATGAGATAGAAGTTCATCACGTTTAAGAGAGTTTGTTGCACGAGTATGTTGAAGACGTTCTAATATTTTCTTTATGAAAAGAAAAAGAAGGAAGAATAAAATATAATATTTCAAATTAAAATACTATTGTGTTATTTTAAAAAGTAATTAAAGTTTTCTTCACAATGACTTAATAGTTATTTTTCAATTGAAAGAAAAAGAAAAGGTGGCAGACTATTTTATGTATCATTTTTCTTTTTTATTCTATTTGAAATTTATATCCTAAGGCAAAATACACCTGAATGTTAAGTAATACTCTCTATTCTAATGGAAAGTAAATAGTGAATAAAACGTAATAAAAGACAACGTTTGAACAAACATCAATATTAATGGTTTGATCAAAAATGAAAGATATACGAGATGTTTTTCAAAAAAAAAAAAAAAATAACAAAGAAAGCAAAGAAAAGAACTTTTTTCTACAAGAAATTTTTTTGTATTTCTTACCAAATTTTCACGTTCAATTTTTTGTTGCTGTTTTTGGCGATTAATTGCTGATGATGTTAAACGAACTCGACGATAATCTTTTGTATGACCATGAATATAAGGCTGTTGATGATGGTGATGATGATGATGATGATGATGATGATGTTGATGATGATTTTTATCTGTTTCATCAGCAACAATTCGAACTTGTTTTTTATTTAATTCTTGTTGAGGATGTATAGGAGTTGATGGACGACTAGTTGGAATTGATGAACCTAATAAAACATGTCTCATAGATTGAAGATGAAATGGATGATGTTGATCATGATTTGATTTTCTTCGATGATCTTCATGTTTTTGTTGTTGTTGTTGCTGTTGTAAATGATGATGTTCACCACCAAGTGATGATACATCTGTTACATCACGATCAGAATAACATGATGAAGGTGAAGGTGAACTACTACTTTGACTTTGTTGACGATAGATAGGTGGTTTAGACGTTACTATACGTATTGATGATATGCCTGGTGTTACTGGTACTGTGGAATTTACATCATCATCATCATCATAAAATGAATCTCTTGTTTGTGGTAATGTTTCATTTGCTTTTCCAAGCATATTGTATAGAATATTTTATCTGAATAGAAATCATTCATGTCATTGAGTTTTAGTCTTGTACATATGTAATGCATAGATAACACATGGAGATATGAATATAAGAACTATCATGAATTAAATTATCATGCAAGTATATACACTTGATTTGTGTTACCCTCTAAAATGTGTACTTTTCTTTTTTTCTTCGTTCTGGCTGACTGACTATTATTTCTTTATATGTCTTCTCATTCGTTGGGTACTTCTCATAATTTTATGCTCTTCTTTCCTGTTAAATATGCGTGAAACAAATTACTAATTGATGCGTTCAATGAAATAAAAGTAGTTATCATTCATAAAACACAATGAATATTGCCAGTTTTAGAGACCCTTATGGATATGACCGAAAACGTCAAACTTCAGCGCGACAACATATTAATTATGGTGGAAACAAATATAAAAGAGGTTTATTTCATAGACTAAGATCAGTTCCGGTAAAACAAACTGTTACACAAGCTCAATATTCTCCACAACAATACCCACATGGTTCACGTCGTCTTCCTCAACTGAAACGTCCCTATCTAAAACCTTCGCCAGCATTTCCAATTACTATTCCAAAACCTTACAATAATTATGGTGGCTACGCTTACAATAATTTTAGTGCCTATCCTTACATGCCACCAAATCAACCTATGATGATGCCATCGGTACAGCCGATTCCATCTATGATAATACCGCCACCACGACAATTTCAACCTATAATACCGCCACCACGACAAGTTCAACCTATAATACCACCACCACGACCAGTTCAACCTATAGTACCACCCCAGCAGGTACCACAATTTCAGCCTATAATACTACCACAACAAGTTCCAGAAATTCCACCTATGATGATGCCTCAGCAAATAATACCACCAATGTCTCCACCATATTTATCTCCTCCTTATTCTATGGCTATGCCGGCATCATCAACACCATATGTACAACAACAGTTACAAGCTCAACCTATTATTAATAATATGGGATTTTCTCCTCCGATATCCGCGGGTATAACAAATCCAGTTGTGCCAAATGTTTTACCAAACCAAGGAAGACCTATAAATTTTTTTACAGACTGGACGGGGGGCGGAAAAATTTCTCCTGGTTTTCTTGGACCTCCTATTTAATATTAACCTTATTTTCGTATTAACCTTCATGTATCACATTAAGTGTAACATTCGTTTTTCGTGCGCTACTGAAGTAATGCTTCGTTTTTTTTTATTCGTCCTCATTTGTCTTATCGTTTTCTCCTCTTTCCTTTTTCTCTTTCGTCATCATCGATTTTTACTTTTTCCTTCGCTATGAAATACGACAAATTATTAACAAATGTACGAGATAGTCATCATTCATGGAATATTATATGACTAATCGAACAAATGTGATTAAGCTCAAAATATCATTGATGGTTTCGTACACTAATTGTCGAATAATATAGAAGGGATTATTTATAATGACAATTCTTAATGAGGAGAGTAAGATAAAGCAAAAAAAAAGAAAAAAAAAGGTAGACGCTAATATTCTCATTTGTTCTTCTGACTGATATTTATCTATCTATCTATATATATATATATATATATATGAACTATTGATATTGAATCATAAATTATCGATTGTAACAATAAAATCGATGAAGTATAAGATAACAAATATAATCAATGAACGACTACTCTAGCGGTAAGTCTATATCAATTAAAAAATAATTTCCTTCTTAAATATGCCTACACAAAAAAAAAAAAACTTTGCACTATCAAAGATTAATAAAATATACTTTCTAATTAAACTCGCTTTAAATAAATTATAATGTGCAGTACGAAGGTTACATAAATGATTTATTATAGATTGATATTTAAAAATTTCTACAGATGAAAAATATCAATAATTACTTTCAAAGAATTTTCACAATCGAAATAACTTATTTTACAACATAAAGATTATCAAATATAATTAAAATAATATTTAGATTTTTGTATCATGTTAAATAATAGTTTTATACTTATTTTATTTCGATCAACGATCAAGTCAACTAAGATGATTATGAATAATTATTTAAGTTCGATTAAATATTGATTATTTAATTCTAATTAATAAATATATAAATTACAAAAAGAAATCACATCTGTAATATTTTAATCATTAGACAATCGATATATTCATAGGAAAACTTTTGTTTTTAGAATTCTATTTTGAAAATAAAACTATCTCCTATGTTATTATACATTTTCTAATTGAATAAATTGCTTAAATAATGTTTAATCATGCGAATATTATATAATATTCTGATATAAATGTCTTTATACTCACTTATTCTATGAATTTTATCTAAAAACTCTTCTATTTACATCGAAAAAATTTTGAGAGTATTAATACAAAAGCATAAAAATTCAACCATGATAGGTTTGATAATTGGTTCTCAAGTAACGTCCCCTTTCATAACATATATGCTATTACATTTGTAAAAATTTCTCTATGAAATTATTAAAAGATGTCACTAAAGTACAATTGAAGAAAAAACGGCATCGTTACACACCCATCTGATCATCGTAATTTGTTCGAACTCTTATGCTCCTTAAGTGCGTACTTGACTCATTATTTGTGATGGTTTGCCGTTCGTATAGAGCATAATATCATATACTCTCGGAACAAGTCAAAACTATACGTGGATTGTCACGACAAAAGACAAATGCACACATACGTCTATTTGTATTTTTATCTATATATATTCTCATATGTTTTTCATTCTATACAGTCACTGAAGTGAAAACTAAAGAAAATATAAACTAATCTACTCATTTACATTCCTTCTATTTTTACCTATATACGTGTAAACAGATTATAATAAATGCCGCGTCATGATTGCGATCGAGAAAAAACAATGGTTGAAGCGAAATCTATGCAAAATGATGAATTTCATCATCATCATCATTCAAATCGAAAATCAAATGCTGTTATTGGTCATTTAAAATTAAAAGCTATACGAAAACGATTATCAAAACATGGCTCATATGATGTATCTGATGACGTATCAAACCGAAATATAAATGGAAATATTGATAATAATGATAATAATAATAAACGATCAGATCAAGAACACAATAAATCTCCACGTAAAAAATCTTTAACATCAATTTCTTCTCAACCAATTATATTATCAACCAAATTTTCAAAAGAATCCTCATTCGATAGCAATGGTAATGTACATGATAATAATCATATTTTGTTTTTAAATATTTAAGAAATATAAAAGAAAAAATAAAAGTTCTATATTTCTTTTTTTCGTAGATATATTTAACGGAAACGATGAACAAGATACAATTGTTCCTAATGAAATTCATAAAGATGAAGATATTGAAGAAAACATTCAATGGAAAACAAATTCTATAAAATCTAATACGAATAAAAAGCCAACTAAATTACAACAAAAGTTAACCAAAACAAATAGTTCTTGTTCTGAAATAGTTAACCACTCAAATACAAAAAAACAACGACAAACATTACTTCCTAAGGTATCGTTTTTATCTAAGAAAAAACAAAATATTTATTCGACTACGCCTGTTGACATATGATTGGATATGAATCATGTGCGGGCGATTGTTTTCTCATTAACTATCAATCAAACAGATAACATCAAATCCTTGAGATGCTAAATATTTCTTTTTCCGGATTTAGAGTTTCCAAATCCGTGATGAAGATTTTTATGCTGTATTCAATGATTTACCACCAGATGAACAGTTAATTATCGGTATGTGATATATATTTCATTATTTTAATCATTTATGATAATTTTATAGCTTATCCATGTGCTTGGAAAAAAGATGTGTTTATGCATGGTCGCATTTTTCTTTCAACGAATTATTTATTGTTTTATGCACGTTTTTTCAAATGGGAAGAAAGTGTAAGTTATTAATTTTTTTCTTTATTTTTTTTTTGTTATTGTAATAGAAAATTGGATTTATTTAGTTACGTATTCCGTATAAACATATAGTCGGTGTAACTAGAGAAAAATCTAATATACTTCTTCCAAACGCAATTAAATTACGAACAATAAATCAAGATGACTATCTATTTGCTAGTTATATACCAAGAGAAAAAATTTTTATTGCTATATTTCGTGTATGGCAAAATGCTTTACTCGGTCAAGTAATATATTATTATTATTATTATTACAAAAAAGAAAAAAATATGACTATATTGCTTTTGTTTTTGTTTACAGCCATTAGATTATCAACAATTACGAGCATTTGTTTTTGCTGATCAACATCTTCATGATGAAGCAAGTGGTGACAGTGAAGAATGTATTCATTTAGAACATAATGATGAAAATGTTCCTAAGGTAAAATTTACTTTAGTAAATAATTCATTAAAAAACAAACAGAATTAAAATATTGTTAAGACATATTTTCGCTGAGGTTTTTAAATATATATTATTCATTTTCAAGGCTTAGGTAATGGATTGATTAATTATTTCTATACTATATCGTAATTTTTGTCAAGATTGAGTTGTTGCTATTTTGAAAAACTACTGCGAAAATATTTTAATTCTTAATAAAAAGTTTAAAGAAATTTTCTTTCTATATAATCTGATGGTGTAAAAATAATACTCTGTTTTTCTCTCATATTTCATCATTCTTCAATTAATATTATCATAATAAAGTTTTGATAATAGCTATTTATTATCACTTGTAAAGGTAATATATTCGATCACATATTTCACTTCGATATGTAGTTTATTCTTGACGTTTTTTTTTTCCTCTTCGTTGTTGTTTTTCGTTTTCTCTAATACACAATCGTTTTGATGATTCGATAAAAAAAGAAATACAAAAACAAGTTTATCAACTTTTTATTTAAAGTAATTCTTTGAATCTGACACTCTTTCTGATTTTTGGTATCAAACAAAATTCAAGCAATCAAAATGATTCTAAATAATTGCATTGTGCTGTAAACAAGTTCATGAATTCTTTTAATAAAGAAGAGTATGACAAAAAAAAATGGTTCAATAAATGCAATTGTATATGAATGCATATCGAAGACAAAAATGAGATCGAATATGTCATAGCAAACAGTTCTGTATTGATGTTTTTATAATTATGATATTAGTTGAAGAATGATCAAATATTAGAGAAATATAAAATATTGTTTGTATTATCAGACTATAAAGTGAAAAAGTTTCTTTAAATTTTTTTTTAAGAAATTAAAATACTTTTGCTACGACTTTTGATATGTCAATTGTACTTTCAGAATTTCGCTTGATTTTAGACTTTAGAAAATTAGATCTCTATAGATTTCACTCATCAGAAAGCAGAAATAGTAAATATTTTTCTAATAGAATTTGATTACTCATCTATATGACTAGAATAATCGAATTTACTTTCTGAATGCATTTAACATTCTCAAATGTAAAACTATTTTTTCTGTTAATTTTTTTTTCAGCCACGTGCTAAAACGATAAGTTCAGTAGAATCATTAACACGATCAATACAGCAACCAACAGCACTTGTAGAACCAAGTCGACGTACTATTTCATTCAATTTAAGTAAGATCTTTACCTGAATTCGTAAAAAGAAAAAGAGCTAAAAAAAAGAATTTTATTTTAATTCTATTTAGGTAATGAAACTATATCTGATATACGTACGTGTACATGTGAAAATCATCTGACGAAAACATATGCAGATCGATTATTTAGTTTTAATGTTGATACACTTTATGGATTATTATTTGGTGATAATTCATTTACACGTGCTTTTCATAAATCACAAAATTTACTCGGTAAATTTTGCTTCTAATATATATATATATATATATAATAATATTCGATGATATTTTTCTTAGATTATACATTCGGTGAATGGAATTTAAATACGGAAACTGGTAAACGAGAACGTCAAGTAACATATAAAACACTTCATCAATCCATTATCGGTACCAATACGCTTTCCTGTCGAGAAAAACAAGTATTCATAAATATTTTTTTTTTATTTTACTTTTAAAAAATTTTTTTTCTTTCCATATATTTTTATAGATATTAGAAGTAGAAAAACCACATTTAATGTACATTGTAAATACAGAAGTATACAATGAAGGAATGAAATATACAGATGCATTTTATGTCGCAACACGATTCTGTGCGGTA